TAAGAACAAAAAAATTATACTTTAGAAGTTAATCTAGTATCAAAAACATTCGATTCAGTACAACACACAGTCCTCAGAAAAACACCACACAAAAGTGCCAGTGCTGCCAGCTAAAAAGCACATCAACAAAAAAATATTGGAGTAACCCAACCCAAGATATAGCCAAAGATTGCAGCCCCACAGCACTAGCAAAAATTAAACTTGCCGACTGGAATTCTTTCGGATAACTGACTTTTGGATAAACGTCACTCTACTATAAATCTAAATATAAAATACATGTGCACTTTTTATAAAAATTGCTGGATTATAGGTTTAGTATTTTTAATTCTAAATATTGTGAAATTTATAATTAATTAAGTTATCTACATAAATGAATAATGATTTAAATGATTAATTACTTCAGACAGATAGCATTGATCACTTATAATGTAAATATGCCACTATGCACATTAACTGTACCATTTAGTAAAATGTATTATTTTCATATTTTAAAAAGTACTGAATTTAGTACACCTTTATGTGATAATCTGTAATTATCCAGGTCCAAGTTAGTGCCGGAAGCATTGAAATATACAGAATATCAGAAAATGTGGCATTTGAGCTTCTGTCTATACAGTAATACCCCAAACTTACGTGATAGGTGGGATTGAGCGATAACTGCGTAAGTCGGGGTATAATTTTGCAATTTGTGTAAAATTCAAGTTGGATGTATGTAAGCTAATAAATGTTCTCATTAATCTTATCTCGTCTGTTAATTCGTTCACGGTTATAAGAAATTACCACATAGAGTCTCTCAAGTCTCCGTAGATATAACAAACACAGAAATAAATAACACAAAATTAATTGTATCTATGTGTCGATTTCGCGTGACATGTCCGAACATGTATGCCGAACAATAGTGTGGGGGAGTGAGTGATCAAGAGTTGCGTGCCACTCAAACAAAAGACGAGTTGATGAAATTTGAAACTCGTGTAACTCCGGGTTCACGTAAGTCAGGGTAGCATGAGTCGAGGTATTACTATAGCTGCAAAGGCCAGTCCTGCCACTATATTTTCTGGATATGCAAATAAGTGTAAAATGCCCATAATGATTGGATTTTTTGTAAAGTCCATATATTGCATTTTTCAAATATTTGATAAATTTTTTAAAAATTTATTCAGTGAATATATGCCTTTCTTTTTATAGTTTTAGGTTAATTAAGATAAATTTCATTATTCATTATTAATATAGTTCATTTTTTTTAATCATTATAAAGGACTTAAAAAGTAATTTGTTGTTGCTAAAGATTCAAATAACAATGCAGCATTCCTGAAATTTTCTCATTTGTAATTTTTTTAAAGAAAATTGTTTCATTGCTTTCTAGGCAACTCTCATCTATTATGAAATGATTTTAAAAGCAACTTTTACATGTTTTTACAAAAATGTAATAGAGACATGTCATTTTTTTCTTTTTGTGTTGAAATACCTCTAAATTATTATATTGAATTATCATTATTTGTTTTTTTTCCATAGAAGAATAATGAACAGCAGCATTTCATAAAAAAATGGATGCTTTAACACAAAGTTTGATATTATAAAACTTATACTTCAATTTTATTGCATGCAGATCCACATTAATAATTTGTCAAACACATTTTCCAGTCTTTGTTCTATTATTTTTATTTTTAATTGATTTATAATATTTATCAATAAATTAAATTTATTTCTCTTTAATTTTTTAAATGCATGTTATATGGTCTTTTTTTTTTTAAATGTTTGTTTATATGTATTTATAGATATTATTTTGCTCTTTTATTATGACATTATTAAATATAGCATTCATTTTGAATATCAGTTTTTATTTGAATGATTTTTTTCTTCAGTTTTGCATCTTTATTATTATTATTTTTCTTTCTTTAGGAATTAAAAAATCAAACGAGTGTGTCAAGGATTAGTCAACCTTTTACCGATATATTTGGTACCCCAATAAAGACTAGACCATCTCCTGATCATACGGGAAAATCTAAAGTAATTTTTATTTTTTTAAGCTATTAAAATAAATATTATGTGAGCACAGTTGTCTCAAAACTCAAATAAATTTCAATATTTTAAAAGATGTCAATTTTACGTCTTCAGAATAACTGATAAAAACAATCAAAGACAGATTATTCTTACAATGATGATTGATGAATTTGGTTTAGCAACAATAACCGGTTCTACTATAATATGATGTTGCAAAGAAAATGAGGTTCTTATTCTCATTTTTCTAAGAACCAGAAAATATTTTTATACAATATTATTATATTTAATATATTTTAGTAAAAAGGTTTAAAAATTAAAATCTGAAAATTCAGATTTTGAGTTTAACAGATTTGATTATATTTTTAATAATATATTGATGCAAAAAACTTTTACAAAATTATTATATAATATATTTTTATTTTATACAATATACTAAAGTTATAGAAATTACATAAAATATTTGACTGATTATAAATAACTTATATCATGTTTGATTTAAATTGACTTAACAGCCTATACATTTCATATGTATATAACTAACAAGCTTTGATAATATTTAATATCTACATTTGCAGTCTTTGGTCGAGTGATGGAATTAGAAATAAATTAATAATCATTCACATACTGAAAGTAAAATAAATATTAATTAGTTAACTGATGACTCTGACTTTGGATTGTGGATTATGAATATAGATTCTAAATATTATTAAAGCCACTATCTGAATTAGCATATTTGAAACTAGCACAAGCTTAGAAAAATTAAGGAAAATGCATTTTTATAGAGATTAATTTATATCAGGTTCTAAAGAAATATTTAATTCCATGACATTCATATTCATTTACTTGCTATTTAAAAATATGTAAAAATAATAATTACACATACTTAAATGAAGGATGATTTAACTAAATTTTTTATGTAATTTCAGACTTATAACAGTTACTGTAACCGGCAATATAATTTAAGAGCTGTAGATTTGAAATATAGCAGAAAAATAAATAAAGCAATATTAAATCATAAAATTTTAAGAAAATATGGAAGTATTTTCATGCTCTATTAAAGAACTTCTTCAGGCTAACATAAAAAAGGAATAAAAATGGAATTCAGACAAATTTAAAATCTGTTTTTGATGATACAATGGTTTATGAACATTTTTAACTTTTTATAAGTAACAGAAATTTTAATAAATGCATTAATTTATTAATACATAAAAATCTGTTGATTAGAAATAGGGTTTTTCTAATGAGATCCTGGCTGTTCTTTTAACCTGGGATATTCTTTTCATCCTTGGAAGTCCCACATATTTCTTAAAAGTTTACTTTTTTCTTATTTTGTGTTAAGGTTGAGGAAATTTTGCAAATAGAATGTATATTTAACTCATAAACTGTCAGAATACATTTGTATTTATTAATTTTAAGCCTGCTTATTCATTTTTAAAATTTTTGCTTGTTATGACATGTCACAGATTGTTAATAATCAATGTGTAGCGTATTTGTGGCAGGACTCTGAAAATTCTTTACTTTTCAGAATCTGTAATATCTGGAATAATTGTGCTTTTGCTGTCTTAATTTTTAACCATGCCCAGTAGCTTCAATAAATGCCTGACGCCAGATTGTGCAAATTGGGCAAGGATACAAACGAGTACAAAGTCTGCAAGTATGAAGTTTTTCTTCATCAACCTGATTATTAAAGCCAAATGAATTGCCGAATTATCGAGCTCTAGGCTTGATGCCGCTATTAAAGCAGCCAAGGTAGATAAATAAAAAATACTAGACAACAAAAGAAGTACTGCAACGCATCTGGAAAATGAACTAGAAATCTTCCAGGCTGCAGATGAAAAAACACACATCTGTCTTCTCTTAAATGCATTAAAGACGATTCCACCCACATCAGTTGAATCAGAAAGGGCATTCTCAGTACTTTTCATTACTGAAATAAGAACCAGATTGAGTGATGGGAATATTGATAATCTTTGCTTTTTAAAATCTTATTATAAAAATTTACAATAATATTTTGTATTGTTTTATTTAAAAAACAAAAATTATCTTATAAGTTAGACATTTGATCTAAGTTTATTTTTTCTTTAAATTTTCAACTTAATTCAAAGGGTTTTTTTTGTTGTTGTAAGCAGTTTCCAATAAACTTTAATAAATTTTTTCTATTTGTGAAAATTTCTATGTAATTCAAAGGTAATTTCTAATACATATTTTACACAGCATTATTATGTAGGAAGTTGCAGGATGTATTAAATTACTTTAAAAAATGAAAAATAATTATTTCATTTGATTTCAAAATTTATTTTATATCTTAAAAATAATTAATTATATCCCAGAATCCCGGGAAACAGTTCACTTTTTTCCCGAAATCCCAGGACAAACAAAGGATCAGGAAATGAGAAATCCTAATTAGAAGCTTGTTGGATTTTAGAGAGATACTATCTAATTTATGCTTTGCGGAAATAAGAAATAATGCACAGGTTTGTTAGTTTCACTTTATTATTTCAAAGTATACTAGCCTACAAAATTTGTCTCACTGAGAAAATTTATATAAGTCCAAATATTTCATTGCAATCTATTTTTTTTCTAAGAATTCTGGTTTTAAACAAGGGTGTGTGATTAACTATGAAATTAGATGGACTATATCAATTTCCTTTATAGCATTACACTTGTTTTTCAACTTACATCTGGGCTACTATTTTTTATTGAAAAATCAAATTGTGTGAACACAGTAGGATATTATTGCAAAAATTACTGGCAAATTATTGTAATATTTACACAAGGTTAATTGAAGAGCCTGTTTCCACAACAACTTATCTTCAAGAATGACAGTATAAACGAACAGTGCTTTGATGTTATACTTTAACAGAATTATATAATAATGTGTTATTTTATTTTCAAAAAGACTTATTTACTATTGTTAGCAAATTGCAAATCTTTGTTATTTTCAAAGTAACTTACTTCCACTTGTGTATTTATTCAAAAACATTGCATCTTCCACAAGCCAATTGAGCAACTTTTTTGGAGTTCACTGCAAACCATGAAATATGTACTTTGAAAGTATTAATTTGTTGTTAATTACTATTTTCTTGTTTATTATGATAATATACTGTTGTGTGTTTGCATTAGATAATATAATATATATATATATATACTTCATTTGAATATGATTTTGATATGCTTTTCTAAAATACTGAAGAAGCAAAACAATGATTGATGAAAAATGAAAATTAATGCAATTATTCTCATCCTTTTTGAGTTATTGACACACTTACAATTTTTGGTGGCATACCAAAAAGCCATTGTTTCATCAAATATGTATAAGCAAAACACAAAATTCATAACCTGCATTTTTAATGATTTTTTTTTTTTTTGAAATTTTATAGCACATCTATGAGAAGTGTATGGCATATCACTGCTGTGGTATACCATACCAATGGCTGGAAACCATTACTGTAAAGATAGCAGCATCCTAATCCTAAATTCCAAGCTTGCAAGAATATTGCATTATGTATTATCATCTCGTGCATTTCTGGCTCCTTATTCTAATCTGTATTAAATGATAATCTCAGGTAGCCAATTATTTAACTTTACTACAATGGAACATTGTCCTGTTTTAGGACAGCTTTAGTGTCCTAATGAATATAAGCCACTGTTCAAACCAAGTTTGAGGTTTTATACTGTTTTTCACAGATAAACAATATTTAATTTTACATATTACATATGTTTACATATTGAAAAAGCATCTGAACATCATTAATGTAAAGGACTTGAAAAAAACTTGGACATCAGATAGACTGGAATACTAGAAACAAGAAATTAGGAGAATATAGTTAAATGCTTGCAGGACAGAAGAATGTTGAAGGTAGTTGATATAAAAAAGAATGTTAAAATTTAATACTTATAACTGATCTGGGTAGTAAAGTTAATACTGCACGTGTGTAGTTTGTTTTTATAAATTGGAATGCAAATATGTAGTTTTAAAAATTGCTTGATCCATCAAAAATGGTATAAAAACTTGATTCAGTTTGAACAGTGGCTTATATGCTTTAGGAAGCTGAAGTTGTCCTGAAACAGGATGAAAACATTCCTTCATAGCTGGTTACCTGAGATTAGCATTTAATACAGATTGCATTATGTTGTTAGGCTGTATCTTTTATTATGATGCCTTCTTACATTTAACTGATCTTTTAATTGTTTAAATCAGGGGTGTCCAAACTTTTTGCTGCAAGGGCCAAATTGGGATTTAAATACATTTGTGGCGGGCCATGTGAATATGTGAATTAAAAAATCTCATTATGACTAAGGCAGCATTGAATTTTATTTTTTACAGTTTATTACAAATACACCAATACTACACAAACATGGCTAAATTATACATAATTAGAAAATTATTTCATGCAACTTTTAATGGGAATAATAGAACTGTGTTTTTTATTAAAGAATTTCTTTAAAGTTGGGATTAAAATCTGAAACACCAATTATAAGCAGTGATTGCAAATGATCATCTGATAAATTTGCCCTGTACTTTGATTTCAGATACTTCATCCTGGAAAAAGTTTGTTCGCACATATAGTTAGTCCCAGACATACAAATAAATTTACAAGCAAATTGCTTTATATTTGGAAACTCTTTTGCATTCAAAAATTTGTAAAAATTGACTAAGTTTCCTTCCTTGTATTTATCCTTGATTTGTTCGTTAGCTTCAATAATTTCCATTTGAAACTGACTTGAAATGTCTGCAATGTTGCAGTTAAATTAATTTTGAAACAGCCGAATTTCCTTTGAATTCATGTCAAGATCAGAAAATCGCTTTTGAAATTCTTGTTTTAAATCTGCGATGACTTTTACTGCAAATCTGGTTGGAAATTGTTCATTTTCTGTATTCAGTTCTTTACAGCACGGGAAATGGGTAAAATTACATTCATTTGACTTTTGAGCAATATCGGCTTTTCCCTGAATGCTTTGATTTGCGTGAATAAATCACAAATTAAGTTGTTTTTATTTTGGAG